TTTTTTTAAAGATTATAGCTTCGTAAGAAAAATGCAAATAACCCAATAAAAATGGGCACAAGGGATATATAGGCCATGTACTAAAGATGACATCCTCACGTGCACATGAAGACATGTTCCCATTCATCAGCAATCAGATAAATACAAATTAAAAACAACAAGGAGATACCACCTCACATGGACACTTAGCAAAATTTAAACAAAAATAGAAAATGCTGGAGACAATGTGGAGAGATCGGAACACTCATACATCGATTGTAGAATTCTATTCCTTAACAAATGCAAATACGACCCTGCAATCTCTACTTGGCATATACCCCAAATAAATACAGAACAAAACACAAACAGCCATAGGCACACCTATGTTCATTGCAGCGATTTCTATCACAGCAAAAAGATGGAAACAATACCAACCCAACTACAGAGGAATGGGTAAACCACCTCTGCTCCATGTACACATTGGAATAGTATGCCTCATTAAAAAACAATGACAAATCTGCTAAACATCTGAAGACATGGACAAATTTAGAGAACATTAAGCTTAGCAAAATTAGTCAATCTCATAAAGACTAATAGTTTGCGACACCATTATTATCAAGAAAAATGGGTTTTATTCTATTTTAAAATTTTATGGCTATAAATTCTAAAAAATTAACTGCAGTTAATTTTACATATTATATACATACTGCTCAAAATTTTCTATGATTTCATATTTGGTCTCCATTTACCCATAATCCATGCTTATGTTTCAAGTATTTTGCTTTTTTTTTTATGTCCTTGACACAATGGATGGATGTATGGATTATGATAAGAGTTGTATAAGCCCTCAATAAAATGATTTTAAAATAATCTTTCTCAACTTCAAAAAAAAAGAAAATAGGGACTTCCCTCTCAGACTCTGACCTCTGACTCTTCCCCCTCTCCCTTGTTCCCTTTCCCTCCTTCCCTTCCCCCTCTCTCCACATGGACCACCAAGCTGGGCTGAGCTGGCCGAGGCGGGGCGGCTGAGCGCAGTCCCGCCCTCTTTCACCGAGGCTGAGGGGATGGAAACATCTGCCCCACGTGCCGGAAGCCAGCGGGTGGCGACAACTGGCTTACCGGCGGCGTTTCACCACACCGAGACCCTGCGGGTGACCTCGCCAAACCAGCTCGCCGAAATGGCTGCTTTCAGGCAAGGAAACTTTGATGGAAATTTCGAGCCTCTGGACCTTGCAGAATTTACTAAAAAGCAGCCATGGTGGCGCAAGCTGTTCGGCCAAGAATCTGGGCCCTCTGCCGAAAAGTACAGTGTGACCACCCAGCTGCTCATAGGAGGTGCCACCGGATGGTGCACGGGTTTCATATTCCAGAAGGTTGGAAAGTTGGCGGCAACAGCTGTGAGTGGTGGATTTTTCCTCCTTCAGATTGCAAACCATACTGGTTACATCAAGGTTGACTGGAAACGAGTAGAGAAAGATATGAAGAAAGCCATGGAGCAGCTGAAAATTCATAAGAGCAACCAAATCTCTAGCGAAGTCAAGAGCAAAGCAGAAGAGGTGGTATCATTTGTGAAGAAGAATGTCCTTGTGATGGGGGGATTTCTTGGAGGCTTTCTGCTGGACATGGCATCCTAAGATGGACAACTTCTGTGTTCTTTTCCCCCCCATTATTTCATCAGAATATGTCAGTTGCGTTTTTTCCAACCAGAAGCCTCTACACTCCATCATAGGACATTGAGTCTCCCTTCATCTTCCTCTCCTCCTGTGCCTTCCTCCTGCACCGGCAGATCAGAATAGCTCTCTGTTGGTACAAGATAACTTAGTACTGACCTGACTTGAACTTGCTGATGATGGAAGAGACAACAGACATTAGCTTGTCCTCCCAGCACTCTCCCTACATGGCTAGTCTGTAGGTCAGCAAGAATGTGTCTCTCCCCATCATAAGCTGCAAGCTGGCCTACCCAGAAGGATGATTAGG